TATAAACTATTCATGAGGACGGCCCATACAACCTGGCTATTATGACCAGTCCTCCCATTGTCAAGGCCGGGATTCATATAGAAGGACTGACCTGCCCGTTTCTGGCCTGTGTGAACCCAAGAAATATTGTGCATGTGTATGATGAAATAACTCCGCAATTTTGTTTCTTGTTGGCTACCAAGTGCCATTGTCGAGCTTAGAAAAGAACAAGAAATAGTCCAGTTCAGAAAAGAACAAAAAATATTCATGCCTTCAAGTACCAGAGTTATGAACCAAGGATTGAGGCGTTCAAAAACTCATTCTTTCCTAGAACTATCGCAGAGTGGAATTTGCTGACGTCACAAGTACAGTAGGGGCATTATCATTAGATAGATTTAAACAATGTTTAGAGTTAGATGTTCAAGGGTTAGGTGTAACAAGTCGTTCGGTGTAATGGAGCCAGCTGCCGCCGCGCCGCGTGTCTGCGAAGCTGGTGTGTTACGCCGAAGGTTAGTTATACAGGCTCTACCGATACAGATACACATGGTGAATGATCTACGAGCTCGATCTCAGAAGCATCTATCGCTTTTCCATCTTACGTCGTCGAGTTTCAGCAATGATGGATTTCTATGGTCACAGTGAGGAGGTAATGGGCGAGACTTGGTCACACTGTTCCTATCGATTTATCACCAACTCACCTATTCATTTCACTTCAGATGCTTTGCCAAAAGTTACAGCAAACGTATCAAGCTGCTAGGGGGAGGGGGGGCAAACTAATGTCACTTCTTCCCTAGCCCAAGAGCACCATCCAAAATTCGTGACCCTAGCATGTCTGATCAAAAGGTTTCAAAACCGAGTTACGCTGCAGTACCTAGGAAAGCCGGCAGGGGGGCAAAAATCTACTTATTTTGAGGTCTCATGAAGACCTATCCACCTACCAAGTTTTATACTAATCCATCAAAAGCTTCTTGAGTTATCGTGCTAGACACACACACACACACACACACACACACACACACACACACACACACACACACACACACACAAACGCTACTGAAAATATAACCTTCTTGGCGAAAGTAATAACTTTTCCTACATAGATGCATTGAGCACCAGACTGGTTTGATTCCGCTATATAAATATGGACTTACCTGTGAAGTAAAAGCATCACATCGTTAACTGATCTTGACAACTTACGTATATCTTTTGGTCTATAAAAGGTATTTCACGCCAGACCGTAGAGAACAAACATTGTCTGTTAAACAGGACAGAACCCCTCCTACGGCAATATGTGGTGAGGCAGGGTCTTCACTCAGTAGAAACGGATGTGGAGAATGAAAATTGATGTTCCGTGTGTTCCACCGACGCCTGATTGTTATCAGTACCTTGCGATGCGTAGCGTGCATCAGAGATTACCAGCCCAACTCCCACGCATTGCCATAGGCCCGCGTTTTCCAGATGGGAGCCTTGATAGAGCGTTAAGAAGTAAAATATTTAGTTTGTGTGACTCCAGGGTAACTATTAGGCTTAGAAACATTTTGGGATAGAAGTAGCTATTCGTCTTTTAAGCAATTGCAACTTTAACAAATATAGGCCATAGTTTTCAAGATGGAGCCTTGATATAGCGTTAAAAAGTAGAATATTTAGTTTGTGTGACTCCAGGGTAACTATTAGGCTTACAGACCGTTTTGGGTCAGAGGAAGCTAAATTCTACAAAATATAGCGCTTTTTGAGCACGTATTAACATGACTTTCCGGTTGCATTATCACACAAACAATATCTCATTTTAATCACAAGGCAAAGAACCTCTTGAATCCACAAAATAACCGAAGAAAATCACAATATTTCAACTTCATTTCAGCTGATCTTTAAGGGCCTTTAAGCAACTTTTAACTGATCGGCTTTGGAGATCTTGCTTTTAGATGAACTCTTCTGTATTGAGTTGACTGGTTTCGGCATTGCCTGCAGAGTTGGTTGACTGGTTGAATAGTTGGAGTGAATACTTGCGTGACTGACCGTGCTTATGCACAACACGGTCGATTTGCGGACAGGTGTATCAATGTCAACATTTCAGGTACAACTTCATATTCAATGCAGCCATGAATTACTGTCAACAAAGTTTTGTGCACCAATTCAAGAGAACATTTGTGATAATCAACATCAAGAAAAGAGAACTCCAAGAGGAAATCTGACTTGACCTGGTTGATGAAGAGACAGAGTGTGTCTCGGAATCCGCCTAGAGTAGCTAACTTTCTGTTGTGTGTTTTCCTTTCATTCGTCAAAAGAGAACAATTCTAACGCTGGCATGGATTCTAACAACATGCAGTGGTCCCTGTCGGTTGTGCATGTATGTTATATATGGTTTGGGGAAACTGTGCGTCTAGACTGCTTGGTGGGTCTTCCTACCTTAAATCAATCATCAGATTTAAAAACTCTTCAGACGCAACAAAGGTGAGTTCATTATCAAAGCGTTCCTTTTTAGTACAACCATACCTTCACCTTTTTCAAGATATTAAAATGTCGGGAGTGCGCAACACTCTTCGGGCTATATGCAAATATGACATATATGAGCCACAGGTCGACAAGAATCTCCACAGGGATGTATGGACACCCACGCACGCCTACATGCTCCGAAGACACCACAACTTGTCTTCTTTCAGACGCCAACTCCGCAAGGAAAGCTGCAAAAGTACATCTTAATCGACCATGACTTGGCAGAACACCAACATCTAAGACTCTAAAGGCGTCCCATTTCAATCGTCAATTGACTAGGTTCCTTTTTCAAGCAAATCCTTCGCTCACATTACTGAAGCTTGATGGCAGCTGTGAGAATCGAACGCCGCCTTTGGAATGTAGATTTATAGACAGTAGTCATGCAGGGAACGTTTCGACCTTTTTTCTTGCCAGGACCTCTTTGGACGGCGTGACTTAGGACGGCTGCGCGTTGGAGATTACGGCACAATTCCGCCTGCATTGTTAAAGACAAAACGTCGCATCCGGAAACCTATCCATCACCTGTTAGCAATCTCCAACAAAAAGGCTCATTTGTTGAAAAGAGCTCTCAACTTGTCGCTACAGATTAATCTTCAGACGCTCTTCGCGGGCTACACGGACGGACTCATCATTTTGAGAGGGGCTCAGCAGTGCATTAGACGGTAGTCTCTACCCTCGGGCCGTTTGGCTTACAGAACTGGCAAAGACAACTGTTTACCCCCTTCACTGGGCATCCAAATGGTCTAGCCAGAAAACAAAACATCGCCGATCACACACGGTAAGAGGAGAACACCATTACAGCTTCTTCAAGCAGCCATTCTTCAGGCATGCAATCTTGGCAGCAATCTCTGACCCCATTTTATTTCTCCTTTCTTGTTACTGCTGTGTACGGTGCTCCCGGAGGACCGCGGAACTGGAGGAAATGAAATGACGAAGCAGAATGGCAATTTGTGGTGTAGACGGCGCATCTTTCATGTACCGTGTAATCTGCAGGGACATCAATTGTATACGTATGCCTGCAGACCCCCCGTTTTTAATTGGGGTATAACAAAATCAAATAAGAAAGAAAACTAGACAAGAGTTTTCTTAACTGTTTTCTCCTTTTTTGTACTTTTCGACGTTACTAAGGCATAGACAAGGAAAGAGGATAGAAAAAGGTGTCAAGCCACGACAGGTTACTGCCCGAGTGCTCCCACCAACCCACTCCTGACGCTTGCTTTAGACGATCTACCTTCCTGTACCTAAATCTTCCTGACAACAATGTCTCTAAATCGTGGGATGTATGTTCCGTTTCCATTGTGGCTATTTTCACAGAGAGACAAAACTAAGTCAAAGTGGTTCCCAGTACATCAGACATTAGTGGCTTTCCGTATATAATAATGTCGAAAAAGATATTACGTTTAAGGAATAATCTTAATTACCAAGCCTTCTACTTTGCTGCTGGTGGACTTAATTGTTTGCCACGTACTTAGGACAGAATCTCTGCACTGGCATGCAACATCAAGTCCAGGCGACTTCGTGGCACAAATTAAAAACCTAGCGTCTCCAGTCATTTATATCAAGTAACCAAGAACCTTGAGCAATCAGCTATAGGCTTGGTCAAATCATGAATTAGTAATTATTTCCCTCACACGCCCTTTCAAGGCATCGTTGCTTGGATTCGCCATAATGGACAATGGCGAGAAAACGTTTAGTCTAAGGACTTTCTGCTTCCTTCATATTTAATGCGACGGATATCAATTTTTACGTATATTTGAATGGGTCGATCTTGTCTCCAGGCAGGGTCATCATTACTGATTTCATGGGGATTTATACATATGTGAAATTTATACTTGAAGAAGGGCTCAAAAGTACATGACCTTGAAGAAAGGTTATACACTGAAAAAACATGGCGGACTGAAAAGTCTCTAGAGGGCAAAGAAGTCCCTACAGTTGACAGAACATTCACACTCAGTACTTGCTGAGACCATGCTGTTCAATGTCAAATTGCAAAGGCAATACACCTCGTCATATGTCACAATAAAATCTAAATGATGTTTCAAACTGTGACAAAACTATGACAAGAAGACGCGCACAAATCACTAGTCTGATAAAAAATGAATAATAAAACTGCCAAAGAAATTACCAGTACCCAAACACTTAATTGCATTTCTGGTGGAGGCAAAATGCTTTTGGCGGAAACAGCAACAACGAAATTGGATTGTGTCAGATGCGAATACAGAAGATTAACTGCATGGAAATGCCGCATTACTTTGCGGAAACAGCTTCCTTCCATAAATGTAATAAAGTACTTAGCTGGAATATTACGCCTCCAGGCATGTCTATGTCTGAAACGCTGTCTGTAGGGAGATTACGTTCCGCATCCATTTATATTATAAAGTACTGTGAATTGCTAGGCACTCAACAAAGACATGATGAAACCAATTGAAAATAAAAGGAACAGACGTTTTAGATGAATTTGCTTATATATTGTAGTTGACAACTGGATATTTGTGGTGCGTTTGGTAAAGCAGAACTTGTATGCTAACCTTCGTTTCTTGGGCTGTTTCTCTTTCTTGTCCATCATGTCGGGCACACAGTCCTTCAGCTCGGTCCAGTCGGCGTGCAGACCGCAGGACCAGCCGGTAGAGAAGCGGGAGAACAGCCAGATGTCCCGGTCGGTGCCTGGCCGGTAGCACTGGCACCTCTTCTGCCCCCGCCGACACTGGCACGGTCTCTCCAAGTCCATGTTCGTCACAAGCTGACGACCGAAGCTGGTTCCGCCGGTCTTTTGCATGTGCAGGAAGACGATCACGTCGGTTCCCGATATGTTGAAGTCCAGATCTCTCTCCAGCGTGGACGGGCGAAACGTGTACTTTTTCTGCGGCAAATCTCTTGCGTGCCGGTCTGACGGGGCATAGTTCTCGTCTTCCCTGTTGGTAAGGAGGAAGCCCTCCGACTGGCTAGTACAGGAGTTGTCCATGCAACTCTGGTAGGCTAACAGTCCGAGCGCCAGCAGGCCCAAGCCAGTACCTACTGCCGCCTTCCACCACTGTAGCTCCATCGTTGATCGAAGAACCAACTCTGTTTATCAACACCTATACGGGCGCCAATTTCTTACCGAAGCGACGACCTCCTCTACAGGAACCGTAGAAACTCCGCCACCCTGATTTGCATCTGCTTGAATTCGGAGTCTAAACCGGCGTGCACACATGACAGAGGCTCAACACCTGACGCTGCCATGCCGGGGTGGAGAATGAGTGATTCCAAGAACCCAACCATCCACAGGAGTCTCAATCTTGGTCTGCAAGTGGGTACCGACTGTCCTATCGCTGCAGGAGCAGGCTTTGTCTCCCATTGGTCAGGGCTAAACGTCATTACCATACGCGTGTGGAAGGATCCTTGCCGTACGTTTGAAGCCCCTTCTATATTTGTCCGCGGCTTCGCAGCGAATCAATCAAATGATCATTAAACATGATAATGGGGGTGGTCCATTGGTGATTAAGGGGCGTGAGAGAGATGACGTTATTTATTGACACTACACAGTCATGTAAAAATAGATAGATGCATTAAAAAGTATTTCGGTAACAAACCGTTTGAATGATTTCAGTTGAAAACTAGAATGATTTTTTGCACGGTCCTTTGGGATAGACTCAATGATGTGACTGCAAGCCCATTAGAAGAAAGAGGGCGTGACTACTGGACCTCTAGAAGCCCTAGCAAACCAGACGAGCAAAGAATAAGCCAATTTTGCGCTGATCGAAATGACTGATACAACTATCAGCTATATAGAGTTACGTGTTATTATGGTAATCATAATCATCATGATTGTTATCATCATCGCTCTCATGAATTTTTCAAAGAACGATGTATCATGTCCTTTTTGTGTTTGCTTAATCAATAATTGAATGGCTGGGATCAATAAATAAATTGTTATGAAATTCAACCATGCATGCATATGCTTACCCTGACTGTGATCATACGTAACCAGTCGTGGTGTTCTCTATTAATAGAAGCAATGCCGATGACGCTATTTATTTAAACACGTTTGCGCCGAGTACAGTATGCGTTTTAAAGGCATCCAGTGCAGTTTTTAGGGCTTGGAAACCCGATTTTTCAAAGCCAATATTCCAGTCATTTATCTACACACTGAGTTGAACCTACACTATCCCAATGTATATTGACCATCATGGAGCAAAAATTCCCAAAACTCTGACGGAAATGGTAAGAAAAAAAAGTAATCTTGGGGCTTGTTTCTGCAGTTTTAATTCTCAAAGTATGAAATGCCGATTTAAATGTGCTAATGTGATACAGTATGCGTCAATATCACAAAGTTGTCTGCCCCGAAATCGCATTGGATACCTTTAACATATTGAGGGGTATGTAGCTTAGTGGGTGCTCTATTAAAAACACCCTGTGCGATGGAAAAAATAGAGAGCTAGAGGGGGGATACTAACCCTTTCAGTGAAGAACGCGTTATACACTGAAAGTAAGTTGCATGTAGTGGAATGCAGGTCCAACTGTAATTTTGACAAATAATTTTGTCAATGCTAAAAATAGTAATTTTCAATGTCATCTGCACAAGTGCTGGTAGGAGGGCAGAAAAAGTACTTTAGTATTGTGAGCTGTGCATAGGTTAAAAAAAACACAGAAGGCATGATAATGTTAACAACCTTTCTAGGTCTGATTTAATCAATAAAACTGATTATGTTAAACTAAATTCAACTATCAATTCTATCTACACTACACAGTAAAAGACAAGACACTTACAAGTTATGAGTCTGCTGGCATGACACATACAAAAATATACGACAACAACAAAAGCAAATAATGTGTAACTAGTACATATAATTTTTTTAGTTTGTCAGTCGTTCATAGGAATTAAAAAGTTGCTCAATCATGACGTTATATATAGTTGACTCGGACCAAAAAAATGTGATATGATAGTAAGAATGTAACAATTACAATCCATTATTTCCTTTGTTGAAATGAAACTATAAGTATGCTCAGTGATTTGTATTTTCAATACATTATGGTATGGACAATTCATTAGGAAGTATGATTCTCTACCAAAGAGAAGAGTTGCAACAACTGAGGTTTGTATTTAGTATTTAGTGAACAGCTTGCCACAAGAGTACAAAATGTGCAAACTTATACCAATAAGGATAGTGTAACTAAATTTTTGCAACAAACATAGTGTTAACTTAACATATGTACTTACATACATCAAAATATCTTCCACAACATAGTAATAGCATTCATGTCACTTAATATCAAATATGAGTCTTGTATTCATATACAGTATTACCAATTAAAGATACATTGTACATGGTCGTATAATGTAAAGCTTGAAAATGACCTTTCTACACCCTCTGTCATAGGTTTTATGTGTTATAAAATCATCCATGATCACAATAATGGAAAATTGTGAGGTTAAATTTTGATATAGCATTATGATCTGAAAATAACATAAAAACTGCACTGCTAACTAAGACATCTGTCTTTTTCTATCTACAAAAGTTAAAACCTAGTTTTCTACAAATAAATAATTATTGGTCAGGGTTAAGTATTGCATAAAGCATCTCCCCTACACTAAGCTCAGATGCATACGTCAACACTTATTTACACATACATCGCAGTTCCCTAACTTGGAATGACTCCTTCTCATCCCATATGGCTCAGTTTTTTTTTTACAAAAGTATATACTATATTTACATTTTGTTCTCAACATGCATGCCTTGCCACATGAACTTTGACATATCATTTCAGTACAGAGGTAAGTCAGGACACAATAATGAGAAGTTCCAGAATTCTTGATGTTCTTTAGTACTTTACCTTTTAGAATGAGATGGAGATGTGGGGATGATTTTGTGTAGATAACTAGAAGTTGAGTATTTGGTAAGTATCAAAAAGTTGGTATTCAAAAATAAGGACAGGCAAATTAAAAATGGCCATCTGAAAAAAAAGACATTACCACATGAAATGAAATTTCTTGGATATCGGTAATTTTTATGTGTTTTTCTCTATTTTACAGGTATTACTACAACAGGTGAAGAAACCTGGAGTCTTGATCCAGACATCTGTTATTGACAGTGTCACTCAATTGCCTCTTGATACAAGGGAATATAAGTGTAGAATTTTAAGCCATAGTCATTGTAAATTGTTGACATAATTACACTCTGTGTGATTGCTGGTGGGACCTGGTATACAATGTACAACGTACAAACACATAATGTACTTCAGAATCTGTTCAAGGTGGGACTGAGATAGACTTTGAAAGTTTCTAGTAAGAGTAAGTGCACACAGTGCACCAACTGTGCTTTGTACAAGTGTCACAGTGATCTGATGACTGCTCAGCTGCCAAGATTTTATTTAAAGTTTAAGTCTGGATAGGTGTTGTGCAATCTTCATTTCACGAGTGACAGAATTAAGGGTATAGAGAGTTCTCATTGTTTTAGTTTGATGATGGTCAAAACATTTACAGCTTCAGAGGACAAAGAGTAAAAAATAAGTATGACATTTTATGGTGGAATTTTAGTAACTTGTCGCAATTTTGCTGTGGATCATCATATTGAGAAAGAAGCCAACTTTTAGAGAGGGGTAAGCAAAAATCAATTTTGATTTGAGATGTCATACATGAAATCAAGCTTGCATTCACTGTTGGCAGCAGACAAAAGGTTATGTGTACCATCAAACTTCATGAAGCACCAATGGACTGTATTGTTGTTACACGTCTATTGTAACATATTCAGACACTGCTTCTGAACATACTTCATTCAATGGTCCAAAGTTTATCATTATCTTGAGTAAGGGTCAGGTAAACATGGTATTGTTACATTGTCCCATTCTTCATGTGGCAATTGTGGCAATGCATTCAAGATTTACTGATGGTTAAAAGTATGCAAATCGTCTTGAAAGAGTTTCACCAGTTGGCTACCTCCTCATCTACATAATCATAGTAGTCTGGGTCGTGCTGCTTTAGCCGCTCTAGTCTCTGTAAAAATAAGTCTTTGGCATAGTCGTAAAGTTCAATGTCAAGGGCGTTAAGTTCTTCTACTCTCCTTTTTTGGTCCTCTGAGATGGGTGTTCTTCCTGCTGTTGTGCCATTCTGTTGGTTGAAAGAGTCTATAAATTTCAAATTAAATGTCCTTTCAAACATGTACTGGCTTTTCTTCTGGAATTCTGTGAGGCCAAAGAACGCCATCCGCCGCAGATTGGTCTTCGCACTTCCCAGAAGAATGCGGTTTCTCTGCTCCTGACTTACGCGGGATGTGTTGTAGCAGCCGACAAGGCTCAAGTCTGCCAGCATGCGGGTCTGGCGATTGTTTGCGAGGTTCCACGGACAATCTGTGAACTCGTCCAAGCCAACACCCACCCAGTTGTCGTCGAAACAAGATGGCAGCTCCTTTTCTGTTGGCATTCTTCCGTCGCACATGTGTCGAGAAGTTTTCCACGTGGCTCCCCGCTGTACGTGGCGCCATTCGCTCAGGTATCTGGCCACAGGTTCCCGCAGCATCGTGATGTAGAAATACCTGTGGCAAATACAAAACAGACTTTACAGCAACTCCTGCAATTCTCCTGTTATAATATAAGTGTCACTGACGAAAGGTAGTGGATGCTACCTGAAAGTTCTGACCATTTCCAAAGTCATATCCAGTTGCTTGATCTGTTTATTGGCAAGACTTAATAGCAACTCATTTTATTTCTTTGTTTTTTGTAAGTATGCAGTAAGCTGCCTTTAGGCATAACACGTGTGCACCAGTTTTGCACAGTAAGTACAAGCTGCATCAGACAAAACCGTAAGGTTTGATCTACTCACACTTGGATAGAACACTACTAGTACTCTTTTCCTTCACTGTGGTGGGATCTATATAACATGCTCACACATACACGTGAAGGATTATTGGGAGTGAAAGCATGTGGATGAAAATAATCTACCCATCAGTTCCATCAAGGCATACATATAGACTTTCAGCTAAGTTCTACATTGTAAGTTCTCAAAGAGAGATACCAGACAAGCTCCCTGCCCTACAGATAATTGGTACATTAACTTTGTGACCAAACTACTTGTTGGTCTGAAGGCTGCTAGGGCAAAAGTCATCCATCAAAGGCCTGGCCTGACTTGTCCTTAAAAGTCGGGACAATGCGGCATAATGCACCATCATAAAAGACGCCATAAATCTCGGCGCCAGCTTGTCAGGGGGAAAAAATGGAACTAGTCCCGTAGGTATTCTCCATTTAAGTCCGCTGGATTAAGAGACGGGAGTGTCCTTTCATGCATATATATACGCCCGTCACTACCATTTATATCCAATATCTATGGTTAAGTGCTGGTCATGTAAACATTAAAGGCCCTACATGCTGAGCTGGCCCTTTTCTGATTATGGATGCCTTTATTTCATGTACCGAGGAAAGGCTCTTATTTTAAAGCTGCTGAATTTATCACTGTGGTTGTCAGAAAGGGCAGGTCTGAAATTGTGACATTGTGAGACCCTGTTGGGTGTAGAACATCCCAGAAATAGCACCATTTCCAAGGATTAGACTAAAATGATTGATAACGTGTACAAATGCATGTGATGCTGATCCCGCTACAAGCCCTGTGGACATTATCATTATAGAGACAAATGTTGTACATCAACTACATTGCTGTAAATTGCCATACTACACAGAAGACTTAACTGGCAAAGTGTGTAAGGTGTAGCCTGGATGCAACCCTGTTTAGCTTTAGTATGCTCTTTTCTGTCAAAAAAAGCCTGAATGGCAGCTCTCTTGGGTGATCCTGCCAAAAGAGAAGTGACAGAGAGAGAGAGAGGATACATTGTACTAAATTATAAAGCCTGAAAGCCTTATATCCAGGCTATGAGCATAACAATGAACATAAGCATCTTCCTTATCTTTAGAAACCTGAAGAATGACTTCCCAAGGGGCAGAGCATTATGTAAGATATTCTAGATAATCAATATTTAAAGGGATGGATTTTTCAAAAGCTTGGCACCTAGTGTGGCAAAGGGTTTTGTGGATGAGCACACTTAGATGTCAGAAAAAAATACAAAAACTAAATGTCATCTAAAAATGTATCTACAGAATGTCTGATACAATTTCTGAAGCACCACTGATAGTTATAGATGAGCAGGATGGATCCTGATTTTTGTTGGTGCATCTACTATTGATTACTCACAGCGAGGATCAATTTGTACATAAGGAAAGGTGCTGATGTGAGTCTAAACGGTCCGGCCTTGGAGGGGATTTCTGTCAAATAACTCAGAAATCATCAAAATCCAGACAACATATCGGAGATCATCCATCAATAAGGCCACACTGAATTTATTACCTTGGTCCTCGTAAAGTTTTAAGGCCATACCAATTTAATTTGTTAGCTCTTGGATTCGCCTCTTCCTTTTTTTCTGATTTGCAAAAAAAAAAAAGATTCTGGTTCTGAATCAACTCAATATTTTGAACCAACAGTTGAGGAAAGTCTTTCTTGTTGTTACAGTTTTTCCATCTATCAATGCAGTGGTTTTAAAAGTTCAAAATTCATTGTTTAGATATTAACCCAGTCTTTTGTGTTGACTTCACGGCTCCTATTGTAGCATTTGGGGCTATAATAGGATGCCTTGACCTGTTTTTTTTTGTTTGCCCTGTCACTTCATATTTTATCTGAAAAATCAGAGAACCAACATATTAAATTGGTGTGGCCTGAGTAGAATTTTAGAAAAAGGACAGTCATACATGTATATATATATATATATATAAAGAGAGAGAGAGAGTAGAACAAAACTTGCATCCAAGGTGAAAATGTTTACCTCAGAGTCTAGATCTGTTTTATGTTGAAATTTCATTTCAGTTCACTCTACAAAATCCAAGGACCAACATCAAACTGATGTGGCCTAAATCTTCAAATTTTGATGGACCGAGAAAAAAAACAAATCCGTCATGATTTAAGTGCTCACGACACCTTTAAGTGCTGATGGTATCTTTAATATTATTATCCGAGGTTTAAGCCTTGTATTTATAACGTCTATCTATCATTCCAGCTCGTTGAGGTGTGACATAATGTCTGGTCTCCGGGTTAAAATCAATGGCTACATCCCCAGTACTGTAACATTGGTTATTACTAGTCTGCAGGGTTGATGCTTATAGTTTCCCATGGCAAATAAGTCAGAACTGAAGAGATACATATTTGGTAGCAGCTGTGTTTATTGATTTAAACCTACACATCTGTTAGGCCTAGGAAAAAAATGTTGTGTTTCCTGTTTCCCGACCGACCCTAGAAAAACCTGCCGACCCTAGACTTTTTGGGGGGTGGACCCCTGCAAGGGACATAATTTTTCAAGCTGATCAATCTTTTCTAGCTCCATCATCAACTGTAAGCAGAATGGACTAACATTTACCGACTTTGGTACAGCAACACATGTTTATTCAATGATCTTGCTGGGCCACACATACATGTAATTGTCAAAGTTGCTTCATTACACATTTCACCCGAAAACAACTCAGTTATAGGATTTAAGTTACACAGTATGAGGTTGTAGTAAAGGCCACCTGCCGGTAGTATCCTTTTGAATGTCAACCACAACCACTGGAGGGAAAAATGTGACTATGGGCCAAATACATTTGTACATGTAATCAAATATGAGAGGACAGCAGGGAAATTCCTGCACTATGCAAAGACATTACTGTTCTGCTATATCTGTAATGTTTTAGCACCATTCAAGTGGTGACAATGTTGTAAGAAATATCCAGTCATAGTACACTCAGTCTCAATGCATAACAAAAACGGTACAGTTTTCAGAGATTGGAAAACTGATAATGTCAATTCTGATACCTCTTCAGGGCACTCTAAGACCACTACAAGAAATGGTGTTATTCTTCTCAAGAATGTCTTGAACAACTTAAAAGATATCAGGGTGCATGGTTCTAGATGTGTTTATTCAGGTCTTATAGTGTGCCAGGCGGAATTACGAGAGTTGACGTGAGATGCCAGACAAGCCCAGCAGCGAAGTTTAATGTTAGTAGGTCACAGTAACTAGTCCTGTTCATCCAGCAGAAAATTGTTAATTTTCCAGCTGAGTCTGCCGAAGGGGAGTCTGAGTCGCTCATCCGTCAAAATTACACACATGTCAAGAACTTTCAAAGGTTCATGTGTGGAACACAAGCTGTATATACTTGACTTATGGTTTGTGGATTAAAAAAAGAAAATATTATAGTACAAGGCTGAATTGAGGTTTAAAGAGGTGAATATGCACATTTGCCATGAGTCGCTCATCCGTCAAAATTACACACGTCAAGAACTTTCAAAGGTTCATGTGTAGAACACAAGCTGTATATACTTGACTTATGGTTTGTGGATTAAACAAAAACATTGTAGCACAAGGCTGAATTGAGGTTTTGTACGGATTAAAGAGGTGAATATGCACATTTGCCATGAGTCGCTCATCCGTCAAAATTACACACGTCAAGAACTTTCAAGGGTTCATGTGTGGAACAGAAGCTGTATATACTTGACTTATGGTTTAAGGATTAAAAAAGGAAAACATTATAGTACAAGGCTGAATTGAGGTTTTGTACGGATTAAAGAGGTGAATATGCACATTTGTCATGAGTCGCTCATCCGTCAAAATTACACACATGTCGAGAACTTTCAAAGGTTCATGTGTAGAACACAAGCTGTATATACTTGACTTATGGTTTAAGGATTAAAAAAGGAAAACATTATAGTACAAGGCTGAATTGAGGTTTTGTACAGATTAAAGAGGTGAATATGCACAATGTGCCATGAGTCGCTCATCCGTCAAAATTACACACATGTCGAGAACTTTCAAAGGTTCATGTATAGAACACAAGCTGTATATACTTGACTTATAGTTTAAGGACTAAAAAAAAACTTTGTTGCACAAGGCTGAATTGAGGTTTTGTACAGATTAAAGAGGTGAATATGCACATTTGCCATGAGTCGCTCATCCGTCAAAATTACACACATGTCAAGAACTTTCAAGGGTTCATGTGTAGAACACAAGCTGTATATACTTGACTTATGGTTTAAGGATTAAAAAAAGAAAATATTATAGTACAAGGCTGAATTGAGGTTTTGTATGGATTAAAGAGGTGAATATGCACATTTGTCATGAGTCGCTCATCCGTCAAAATTACACACATCTTAAGAACTTTCAAGGGTTCATGTGTAGAACACAAGCTGTATATACTTGACTTATGGTTTATGGATTAAAAAAACAACATCATTGTACCACAAGGCTGACTTGAGGTTTTGTACAGTAAGTCAGAGATTAAAGAGGTGAATGTGCAAATTTGTCATGATTCAGTGGGTTTTCCCTGGCCAGTAATCCGTCTTATTCTAGCTCTGGGTGTCCAAAAACAAGCAATTGTTTGCTGTTATTACCTTGCGTTTAAGCAACTACCATAACTTCTTCAATCTTCAGATTATCACATTGCTTTTCTGAATTAACAATTACCATAACTTTGCTCATAAAAAAATATTTAATCTTCAGATGACTAAGGAATGCCACAAACCTTT